TTTTCTCTGAGGTTATCAAAAAATTATTGATGCTTTGCAATACTCTCTAAATTTCTAAAGTTACTGTTGAATTTGTATGAAGATTCCTGGTCTTCTCTTAAATTATCGGAAGATTTCTGAAGTTATCAAAATATTCCTGAAGTTTTTTGATCTTCTCTGAAGTATTCGGAAATTCCTGAAGTTTGCTAATTTTCTCTGGAGATCCCTGGTCTTCTTTAAAGTTCTCAGAAAATGTCTGAAGTTTGCTGAAATTTGATGATCTTCTCGCAAGTTTTCAGAATTTTCCTGAGATTTTCTGCTCTTCTCTGAGGTTCTCAGATTTTTCCTGAAGTTTGATTATCTTTTCTGAAGTTATAAAATATTGCAGATAGTTGCTGATCTTGTTTAAAGTTTGTGAAGTTCGCTGATTTTCTCTGAAGCTATCAGAAGAAGTTTTCTTATCTTCTCTTAAGTTCTCAGAAATTTCGTATAGTTTGCTGATTTGCCCTGAAGATTCCTGGTCTTCTCTTAAGTTCTCTTAAAATTTATGAAATTCGCTAATTTCCTCAGAAGTTCTCAGAATTTCCCCGAAGTTTGTTGATTTTTTTCTGAAGATCTAAGAAATTACGTGAATTTTGCTGATTTTCGCTTGAGTAACAGAATTTTCCTGAAGTCCTCTGATTTTTCCGGACGTTTGCGTTTCTTCTCTGAAGTCCCTAGAATTTTCTACAAATTTGCTGATGATTTCTAAAGATCTTGAAATATTTCTAAAGTTAGATGATTCTCTCTGATGTTATCAGAATATTCTTGAAGTTTCTTATCTTCTTTAAAGGTCTCAGAATTTGCCTGAAGTTCACTGTTTTAAAATTCACAAAAATGTTCTGCAATTTGCTGATTTTCTCAGAATTTCTCAGAATTTTCCCAAAGTTTGTTGATTTTCTCTGAAGTTTTAAAAAATTTCGTTAACTTTGTTGATCTTTGCTTATGTAGCAGAATTTTTTGAACTTCTCTGATTTTTCCATAAGCTTGCGAATCTTCTCTGAAGTTCCAAGAATTTTCCTGAAATTTGCTGATCTTTTCTAAAGTTCTCAGAATATTAATAAAGTTTGATGATTTTCCCTCATGTTATCAGAGTATTCTTGCAGCTTTTTGGAATTTTTTTGAGATCTCAGAATTTTCTAGAAGTTTGCTGAATTTATTATTAAATTCCTGTTCTTCTTTAAAATTTTCCAAAAATGAAGTTCACTGATTTTTTAAAGTTCTGAGAGTTATTGAAAAGGTTGATAATATTCTTTTAGAATTTCCGTGAAATTTACTGATCTTCTCTTAAGTTCTCAGAATTTTCCTCATGTTTTCTAATCTTCTCTGTAGTTATTAGATTTTTTCAGAAGTTTGCTTATCTTTTATGATGTTCTTATAATTTTCCAGTAATTTACTGATATTTTTTAAAGATCTCAGAAGATCGTTGATTTTCTCTAAAGTTATCAGAAGTTTTGTGATATTCTCTAAATTTCTCCGAAATATCCTGAAGCTTCTTGATTTTCTCTAAAGATTACAGGTCTTTTCTAAAATTTTCAGACCATTTCTGAAGTTCGCTGATTTCCGAAAGTTTCCCGAAAGTTTGTTGAACGTCTCTGAAGTTCTAAGAAATTTTGTGAATTTTGTTGATCTTCGCTTAGGTATCAGAATTTTCCTGAAGTTTTCAGTTTTTTTTCATAAGTTTGGGTATTTTTTCTGAAGTTTCTGGTGTTCTTTAAAATTCTCGGAATATTTCTGAAGTTCTCAGTATTGTAAATAAATTGTATAGGCTTTCAGTCTTTTAGCGAATAAAACGATGTTTTTCCTCTACTCCCAACGTTTCAATGGTATATTCCATCTTTTTCAAGGGATCTACAAAGAACTGTTACAAAGCTTAAGATGCACACACTAAGGAAAACGAAAACAAACCAAACAAATAGATTGACAAATACTAACCAACTTACACCCAACAGACAATTAGTTCCAGAAATGATACCCACTTGACTAGAACGATACAAAATGACGGTTTAAAACCAAATTGACTAACGCAAAGAAAGTAGTGACCGATAGCTTTTCCGTTTTTTCGTTTTTCCTGTTTGATTGTAATTATGACTGTAGAATGTGTATTTAGACTCCGACAACTAATTGACGATTAATTATAGGCAAATTGATGCAAGATTTCGATCAAGTGACGATAAGCACTGTTAATCACAGACCAACTGACAAAAAACGTTATTTTCTGTAAGTCACCGAACTTGTAAATTGTGAAACATCTTAAGCTATGTAACAATTCTTTGTAGATCCCTTGAAAAAGTTCTCAGTGTTTTCCTGAAGTTTGCATATCTTCTCTGAAGTTCTTATAACTTTCCATAAACTTGATGATCTTTTCTTAAGTGCTCAGAACATTTCTGAGGTTCGGTGATTTTCTCAGAAGTTCTCAGACTTTATTCTGAAGCTTGTTGATCTTCTCTGATGTTCTTAGAAATTTCGTGAAAAATGCTGATCTTCTCTTAAGTCTCAGAATTTTCCCGTAGATCTCAGATTGTTTCCAGAAGTTTGCTTATCTTCTCTGAATTAGTTAGAATTTTCCAGAAATTTTCTGATCTTTTCTAAAGTTTTCAGAATTTTTATAAAGTTCGTTGACTTTCTGTGAAGTTTTTAGAATATTCCTGAAGTTTTCTGATCTTCTCTAAAGATCTCTTATTTTCCAGAAGCTTGGTGATTTTCTCTGAAGTTCTCTGAAAATTCCTGGTCTTCTCTTAAGTTCTCTAAAAACTACTGAAGTTCGTTGATTTTCTTTAAGTTCTCAGAATTTTCATAAAGTCCGTTGATCTTCTCTTAAGGTCTCAGAATTTTCCTGATGCTCGTTTATTTTCTCGGAAGTTATCATATTTTTTATTTTTTTTTTATTTGCTTCATCTTTAAACAGACTACGTAGAAACTTATTCTAACTCACATTACACTAACCCTTACATTAGCACTGATTATTTCTTATCCTAGATTGAAAAGTCTGCCTTGAAATATAAAAATCGAACGCGTCACAACCATTGTTGAAAACACGAATACAAGCTCATAGAGGGTTGTTGTAGCCATAATTTGTCCGATGTGGAATGGATAGCAGATTACGACTACGAAGTTGGCGTTGAGGAGCGTTGATCCTTAGCTGTTCAAGCAACATAGGACAATGTATCTCACCTGTCAATAGATCGCCAATGAACAAGCTCCTTCTGTTGGAGACCGTTTCCAAATTAATTAGTTTACATCGCGCTGGGTACTGTGGTAAGTTAAGTGGATCACGTCACGACAGCTGTTGCAAAGCGTATCTAATGAAGCTTCTCTGCTATTAGATACGCAAGTCTTGACAGGTATGGTATGGCGTCCAAATGGGACAGGCATATTGCAGAACACTCCGAACAAGTGAGCAATATAGTGCTTTTAGTGTGTATACATCGTCGAATCCTACCGTGTTGCGTCTGATAAATCCTAGAACAGCAAACGCTTTGGCCGTGGTCATGGAAGTGTAACCATTAAACGAAGCTTGCTTTCCATAAGTCACGGATCGAATATGTACAGGGTGCGTGACGAATTTTTGCAGTAAATGGCATATTTGTGAAAACATACATCAGTTAGTTATTCTAGCAATGAATTTTGTGCGATTTATTTTCTTTCGCAACATATGAAAGTTGTAAGTAAATTTATTCAAAAAAATTGCCTTCCCTTTCGACGACTGTAGTTAGACGCTTCCGGAAACTGCAGTATGCACGTTTTAAAATGTTTCGATCCATAGATGTCATCACTGCCTTGATTTTAGCTTTTAGCGACTTAAGTGTGGTGTGAGGGGTTCTGTTGGTATCCCGTTGGACGAAGCCCTATACAAAATAATCCAACGGATTGATATCGGGACTGCTTGGGGGCCAAATTTCTTCCTCCCAAATTTCCAAAATATTTTCCGTAAGCCATATCTGTGCTTTATTAGCAGTATCTTATCACTTTCCCAAGCCTTTTTTAATAGTATACACTGTTCTTTCAGACACATTTACCGACCGAATTATTTCTTTCATGCATACTCCGGCGCGCAACAAAGCGACAACGGCTGACAGATTACTCTCTTGTTTCGACATCTTTACGTTTACTCAACATTGTTTGTTTAAATCTTACACCTAACAGTATAAGCTATCCAGTGCTGCCAAATATATCTAAATCATGATGCACAAGCATGAGAAATTACTATTTGAAATTTACTGCAAAAATTCGTCACGCACCCTGTACGTTCAAGAGCAACATCATTCATGTAGTACTCATTTCCGATGGAAGTTTGACGGCACGTGAACGAAATAGTTTTACACTTGTTAATATTAACCGACACACCATTTACAATGCACCATCTATGTAGCTCATTGATATCAATTTGAAGTGCACAGTAGTGATGACTGTATGGTCCGAAAGATCTTCAAATCATCCGCAAAAAATAATTTCTCCTATTTCAACCGGGAGCACAGATCATTTATCAAAGGAATAAATTTAAGAGGCCCAAGTAGGCTGCCTGACATAATCTGGATTACTTGCGACTGTGTAGACTCCAGTTGCACAAAAGCACAACGGTTACTCAGGTATGAACGGAGTCAGTCGGTGATCCAATTCGGAAATCCTAAATGATCTAATTTCTCGAATGCTAACAAGGGGTAGTCACTCTACACACTTATTTTGTGCCAGCATTTTTCTCAGTGTGCCGCAGCTGTGCCGGCAGTGCCAAGAAGTCATTGAACTGACTTTTGGTTACTTGTGAATAATACCTTGTTTAGCAACCCGGTATTTTAAAAGCTCTTGTTTTTGTTTTGTATTTCAATGTTTAAAAAAACGAGACGGACTCCAGTTGGGACTACACATTGGATGCAGTCGTCTCCAAGGATGCCTGCAACGGACGAGCTCCGTTGCTACACGATCCTTCCATCTTCGGCGGAAGGCCGGCCCCACACAACTAACGTCAATCATTGGTCAACCAGCCCTTCTGGGAGCCGGCGGAGGAAACGGATTTGCACCAAATTTTTCACCGCCCGACTATCATCCGTCGGAAAACTGGAAACCGACACCGCCCGGAATACACGTCGGACTGATGAAGGACGCACCGCTGACCCGAAAAGGACCAGCCAACTTTATTCAACCGGTACAGCAACAGGGCGCAGTGATGATGGTCTACGGACTCGGTAACAACACCGATAAGCTGTTCAATCTGTTCTGCCTGTACGGAAATGTTGTCAGGATAAAGTTCCTGAAGACCAAAGAGAGTACCGCCATGGTCCAGATGGGAGACGCCATTGCATTCGAACCAGTCGAATGCAGCATACAGCACTTGAACAACATTGAATGAATGGAAATGATGGTAGCAAAATTCAGATTGCATTTTCCATGCAGAACTACTTGTCAGAGTCCACCAACTCCTGCACCCTGACGGACAATTTAATCAGTTTCAAGGACTACAGTGCCTCCAAGAACAATCGCTTCCTTTCGTTGACCCAGGCCTGCAAAAATCGCATTCTCCACTTCTTCAATACCGCCGTCGGAGGATCTGCTGCTGATTGCATTCACCGCTAAGGACTGCCACCCGTCGCAAGTGCGGCTGCTTTCAATGCTACTGCTGCTGCTATTCCTTCTGCTGGTCCGTGGCCTCTAAAATTCGTCAAAAAAGACGGACCAGCAGCAGCAGCAGCAGCATTGGAAGCAGCCGCAGCCGTGGGAGCTGCATCGCTAGTTCGTGTAGCCATGGCCGGAAACCTCGGTCAGGTCAAGATACCGCTGTCAGCTGTTCTTCGTCTGGGAGGAAACGTGGACGATTTTGAGAATCAATGGTGAGACTTGGTGGAGATTCACGGTTGTGTTTTGAAAATAATTTGATTATATTGTGGCAACATCAATAACAAATTTTGATACATGCACACTGGGCAGGCGCAGAAAAAGTTCAGTGTTGCCAGTAGCTTTAAAGATAAAAAATTGAAACCAAGGGTGCCAAACAGTGCCATTGACTGTGCCCAGGTGTGCCCAAGCTTGTTTTTGGCACACTGTGTGGAGTGACCATCCCCTTGATTGCTAAAGAGTGTGGAACCTTGTTGCATACTTTCGCGAAATCGACGTAAATTGCATCAACCTGCATCCTTTTTCGGAGCTCCTTATTGATGGAACTTGTGTAGCACATCAAGTTTGCAGTCGTAGATCTCTGTTTGGTGATACCGTGTCGATATTCTGATATGATCGGCTGTGCAACACGGTAGAAAGCATTATGTAAAATTCCCTCGAATACCTTCCCAAGGGTACCGTTCCGATTCAAATTTCGGACGATTCAAATTTCGGACACTTTCATTTTTAATTAAATATTATATCCAGTTAGAAACAAAGTAATAATGTTAGATGATCGTGGAGGGCACTAGTCAAAAAAATTTAAAATTTACAAGACATGTGGATCATATTCGACCGAGATAATCAACTTATAAAAGTGTCCGAAATTCGAGTTTAAGTGTCCGAAATTTGAATCGGCACGGTATTAAAGATGGATATTCCACGATAGTTTTCGACGACTTGCGTGTTCACTGCTTTGTGTATTGGAACAATCGAAGCAGCCTTCCACACATCAGGGAATGATTTGTCTGACAAGGATTGGTTAAAAATGCAAGCAACAAGTCTGAGGAAAGTTTATCAGTGCCGGCTCCTTTCGATACGTCGAGATTTTTGAAGACAGTCATAACGTCATTTTCTGTGACGTTCAAGACTGGAAAGTGCAGATCAAAAGTAGGAACGTTTGACAGGGCGTCATCGTATTGTGGTGTTTCAGAGTTGTAAACGCTTTGGAAAAAGTCTGCAAAGAGATTTACAGTTTCTTCGCGGTCGATACAAGTCCGAGATTTGTATTGCATGTCACTCGGAATTCCTTCACTGCTTTTTCGACGTTTAATGAAGGACCAGAAAGCTGCAGGATTCTGCTTGAGATAGGTTTGAACACGGTTTGCATATTCACGATAACAAAATACATGATTTTCATTGAAGAGATTTTCAATGTATTGAAGATCAATCCTGTTCTCCTCTGACCGGCATCGAAGAAACCGCTTTCTACCTTTCCGTAAAACATTGCACTGGTTTTTCAGCTCTGCAGTCCACCAGGGTTGCCTGTCGGAGACAAATGGTTGACTTCTTCTACGAGGAACCAACTCACTTCATATTAATGAAGTAAGATCGCAATGTTCTCTGATGTTCTCTGATTTCTCCAGAAGTTTGCTGATCTTCTCTGATGTCTCAGAATTATCCTGAAATTTGCTCAGCAAACTTCATACATATTCTGAGAACTTCAGAAGAAACTACCAAACGCCTGCAAAACTCTGAGGTCTTCAGAAAAGACCAGTAGATATCTGGAAAATTCAGAGGATATTTGTTAAGTTAGCATTCATAAGTGAATTTCAATGCCCTCAGAGGAGTTCACCGAACTTCAGAGATGTTGAGGAAACTTGAGGAAAGTTTCAGAGAAATACGGGGGAAAATGGGGCTAAATCGTGGTCTGCCCAAAGTGAAACCATCTGCAATCGATTTCATGCACTTCTTTTCGATAAGGCATATATGGTGGGGGCAGCCCAACAAACAATTGAGAGCTCTTATAAAACACCTGAGTTGATCAAACGTTGAATAATAGCTTCCAGAGTTGAACAAGAATGTAGTTGTATTGCATTTTTGGTTAGAAGCTTCAAAAGCTGCTTGGAGCACTCTTAAATGATTGTTTACGTTCGGTTTAACTATATGCTTTATAAGACCTACGATAACTTTTATAGCACCTTAGTTAAACTGATTCACAAGAGTTATACAGAACGTGGAATAAACGCATCAAAACAAACAATTGGGAGCTCTTATACAACACCTGAGTTGATCAAACGTTGAATAATAGCTTCCAGAGTTGTACAAGAATGTAGTTGTATTGCCATTTGGTTAAAAGCTTCAAAAGCTGCTTGGAGCACTCTTAAATGATTGTTTACGTTCGACCAACCACAATTTTGTTGCTTAAAATAGCACAAGTGATAGGCATGTTTATATAACCATAAGGCAATGATTATTCGACTGCAAGAGAAGTCACTCAAGATGAGCTTGATATACTTCTCTCATATGATCAAAATATGTATTCAAGAATAGAGCAGATGGAAACAGAAGCGGCTGGCAATCCGGGATCATGAGTTCGAATCTTGCTTTGAGAAACCCTCGGTGGAGTAGAGGTAAATTATATATAGCTGTTATTAATAAATGCAAACATTAATTTAAGATATATATCATATAATCAACGATAACATTTCTAGATAAATTCTCTCAATTAATGATTAGAGAGATTAATTGAAAGAATATCAATCAAAGATTAAAGAGATGCTTGTTACTACTTCCTCCATGATTACAGAATGTGAATTATGGTATAATTACATATTTTTTCAATGTGCACAAATAAATTAAATTAATAAAAACTGTACAAGCAATTATTTTGGCGCACCACGACAATTGTTAAACTAATTTTAATCTGTGAATATTGTGTGTACTTACACAACGGTTATTAAGGAGCCATTAAAAAGTGCTATAAACGCTTTTCACCGCTTGCTGTATAGTGATTATTTAGGAGTCATAAAAGAGTGTAACAAACGCCTCTCAGGTTCAATCTCTAATACATTTCGAAGCAGCTGTTAGGAGGTGTCTACAAACGTTGTATTAGAGCTTTCACCAAAACAATAAAGCTTGACTGGAACGTGTAGATCAAAAGTAGGAACGTTTGACAGAGCGTCATCGTATTGTGGTGTTTCAAAGTTGTAAACGCATTGGAAAAAGTCTGCAAAGAGATTTGCAGTTTCTTCGCGGTCGATAGAAGTCCGAGATTTGTATTGCATGTCACTCGGAATTCCTTCACTGCTTTTTCAACGTTTAATGAAGGAGCAGAAAGCTGCAGGATTCTGCTTGAGATAGGTTTGAACACGGTTTGCATATTCACGATAACAAAATACATGATTTTCATTGAAGAGATTTTCAACGTATTGAAGATCAATCCTGTTCTCCTCTGACCGGCATCGAAGAAACCGCTTTCTACCTTTCCGTAAAACATTGCACTGGTTTTGCAGCTCTGCAGTCCACCAGGGTCGCCTGTCGGGACAAATGGTTGACTTCTTCTACGAGGAACTTCATATTAATGAAGTAAGATCGCAATGTTCTCTGATGTTCTCTGATTTCTCCAGAAGTTTGCTGATCTTCTCTGATGTTCTCAGAATTATCCTGAAATTTGCTCAGCAAACTTCATACATATTCTGAGAATTTCAGAATAAACTACCAAACGCCTGGAAAACTCTGAGGTCTTCAGAAAAGACCAGTAGATATCTGGAAAATTCAGAGGATATTTGTTAAGTTAGCATTCCTAAGTGAATTTCAATGATCCTCAGAGGAGTTCACCGAACTTCAGAGATGTTGAGGAAACTTGAGGAAAGTTTCAGAGAAATACGGGGAAAAATGGGGCTTAATCGTGGTCTGCCCAAAGTGAAACCATCTGCAATCGATTTCATGCACTTCTTTTCGATAAGGCATATATGGTGGGGGCAGCTCCATGAATCAGGGGGACCTTATGTCAACCACATATAGATGCACCGTAGCTCACGAAATTTTGACATTTTTCGACTATCTGACACTTTTGGGCATACTGACAGCGGTAAAACTGACTACTGAACAGAACAGCTTACTCTGTATCACTTGCATCGCAGTGCTGAATGCTAGAAAGAGTAGCCGTTTGCAGTCATCCTAACCCCTTTATTCATCACATTGATGTGAGCTTCGACGAAATTCTTGATTGCTGCCTCCGTACCATGAATATCTGATAGATTGGCATTTTCTATAGGAAATAGAGTAAAACTGGGGCAAAATGGGGCTTAATTGTGGTCTGCTCAAAGAGAAACCATCCACAATCGATTCCTGGAACATTTTCCTAATAGGAAACAGGTGTTTGCTATAGGGATATTAGTGGCAGTCCAAGTTATAGAATTGTATTCCTTTTGACAACAAAAATTCCCACTATGCGTTGTTTCCAACTTTTCCCGTAATCTACTACCAACTTCCTTCGGAAGGTTCTAATCCAGGAAGTTTCTTCCGTCATCTTGTTTTGGAATCAGGCCTTAAAAAAAAAACTTTGATTATGAGCTCAGAGCACCTCCACAGCATTTTGAAAACAACAATATAGTTATCAAACTTATTCCGTCTAGACGACATCGTTCGGAACTCCCGGATTGCCGCCCAGTGGAAAGGAAAGCGCATTTAATTTTAGAATGTGCCGATTCATGAACTGTGCTTTGCTTTTATTTCATTTCTGCCCAAAAAGCG